CATCCATCCATCCATCCATCCATCCATCCAGCCATCCATCCATCCATCCATCCATCCATCCAGCCATCCATCCATCAATCAACGCTCGCACATGGTATAGAGGACTTGACATCGCGATGCGATCAGCAGTATGTTGCGGCACAACGGGAGGAGCGTGACGTAATAAGTTATTTGAGTCAGACTACGTATTAATGGTGGAGGCGTGTGTGTGGGCGTGTATGGGCACGTGCGCGAGTGTGTGTGTGCGCGTGTGTCTGTGCGTGTGCACGCATGCGTATCAGAGCGCACATGTGTGTGTGTGTGTGTGTGTGTGTGTGTGTGTGTGTGCGTGCGTGCCTGCGTGCGTGCGTGCGTGCGTGCTTGCGTGTGTGTGCATGGGTTCTAATTATTTTAACGCTAAGATGCAGGAATGAATGCTTAATAATTGTAATTAAATTAATTACTGTCTCTAATCTTCATGCGCAAAGTAGATTTTTACCGAAAACACGTGTTCATAATTGAAACAGACGACAATTGAAATAGGCGAATGTAAAATTTCTGGGTAATATGAATATCTTATATATATAATATATAAGATATGTTGATCTTATAATAATAATAATAATAATAATAATATTATAATAAATGTTATCATATATGAAATCATCATAATGTTATAATGTTATATAGGCAAAAATGGTGAATTTGCTCGTTAAAATATTCGTATGAATAATTTCAGTATCCGGTAATGATGACTGCAATTGACAAACAATACATATAGTAGAACCGTATATAATACGTATATGCATATAATATACAGTTAATGTAGTTATTCGCGGTTTCCCATAATGCTTGATGCAACTCCTACGATGTTTAAACAAAGGCATCAACATTTCTTAACGAAAAATCCTCCTTTAAAACAGACGAGGGCAAGGTAGATGAAATTGAAGATCGAAATCGTCGTAACAAATCGAAACGTCTATGTCTATGTACGGTGGCCCTTACCTTATTTAATAATTAGAACGTATACAAAAGGTTTGAGACGTTGGGTGCAGTTGGGGGGGGGCATAATTCTGAGAGTAGAAATATGTGCGTTCATGCGTGCGTGCGTGCGTGCGTGCATGCGTGCATGCGTGCGTGCGCGTGTTGCATATCTTAATCTTGGGACTGTATTATTGTTATCCATCAAATTAGTGTTTACTTAAAATTTACTTTAAATATTTTAAAAGCCTAAAAAACAGAGGTGCGAATATAAGTAAGTGAATAACATCATAACATAAATATTTGACATAGCATCTAATCCGTATAATTACTCCCAGTTATGAAAATGCCAGTTTCATATATTTATAATAATTACATTTTATCATTGTAATTCACGTGCTTATGAAGAAAAGTAATTGTGTTTGCTGAAGTTCTAATAATTTTAAAATAGAATAAGAGAGGAAAACGATAAGGATGAAGATGGTGAGAACTATAAAGATTCAATATGTGTATATGAAACATAATGTAATATCGATATTTTCTAACGAAAGAAACACATTCACCCTTAAAACAGACTATATATAAAATTATTGTAAAAAGATTATGATAAAACTAACGGGCTAATGGAACGATTTTAAACGTTTATACACTAATTAATTATGCTAATGCATAATTAATAACACGAAAAAACTGTGAAAATTTGTTCGTTAATTATAATTGTGTGAATACGTAGAAATATATATAAATAAATTTTCCCTTCATATAATGACAATGCATTTCTCTAAGTGAATTGACTATGTATATTGAAAAACACATTAATCTTTAAAACAGGCCAAAACAAAATGGATGAAAATGAATTTGATAAACATTGCCTTGATGTACTAATGCACGCGCAGCTGTATTTTGTGTTACCGATCTCAAAATGAGAAAGAGATCAGTCATTTTAATTGTAAGTGCAGACAGGCATAAACTTCATGTTTGTTACAATCAGTGTTGTTTACGGCATCTTTGTTGCGTATATATTCTGTCATCCTGTTTTTATTATTTTAACGTGTGATTGTGTTTAGCGCCCGTTTTAGACATTGTCAAATGCTTCGGCCAATAAATCTAATAATTCTCTTGCATTTTGGCCGATTGTAGATATGGATTGTGAAAATGAAGACGAAGAAGATTTACCAGATTGCCTATTCCGTAAACGCCCGCGAGTTTTTCCAGCAAAACGAATCAACGCCACTGCAGTAGTATGCATGGTGCCTGTTGATTCTCGTGCGTCTGAAGTAGAAGTGAGTAAACGCCAAAGCTATAGGATAATAGTAGAAATGAATATCAAAATTTTTATGCAAATAAGTAATATAAAAAACCTATTACATAAGGAATATCAGCATTTATTGTCTTTTGTAGGTTCATCTTACAGCTGATGGTATTAATACAATTGGTCTCGGGCAAAAAATCTTCTTCAAAGCTAAGGCCCCAGCGATAACTGAACAGCAATTTTCGGATGATGGTAAATTCATTGTTTCGTATATCATTAAAGCTGTATGCGTAAATATTTTTCAAATACTTGTTTCTTGCTTGCTATTGTATGATATTTAATATAAAGGCATAGCTACAATTTTGTGAGCTCTATTTTGGCATATCATAATTGATTATTTTTAATTTTATTTAACACAAGTATGTGGTTGACGGTGTTATTTACGAGTTTAACAGTTATTCCTTTCGCTATGAGATCGCGTTGCACGATTTATTTGTAATCACGTTTGTTTCGGAATCGACCGAATGAAGATCTCTACCCTTGTAATAAACGCTTATTGTGTCGCGTGATATAATGCATGTGGTTCAATACACGTTTAGATGGTGAAATTAACCAATACTTACAACGTTGCTACACGACAATGAAATGAAATTTGCCTTCTGTAATTACAGGCTCGATGGTTATAATTAAGTTTGATCGCGCCGTGAAGACTCGTTTAATCAGGAAGTGCCGTTCCCTCTTTCCGAGCACAATTTTGCGGAAATTGGGCAACGATCCCATGTGCAACTGGAGTAGAAATAACTCCGTATTGACCATTAGGCTCGGAAAAGATGCGACCCTCGTTCCAGGTAAGCACAACGAGCCGGTTAAGCTTAGCCATTCTAGTTTTAAGAATATCCTTGCGCATGCTTGCGGGCGCGTGTGTTTAATTGTGTGTATATATATATATATATATATATATATATATATATATATATATATCGTATCGTGTACGACGACGGACGTAGTACGTACGTACGAGACGACGTACTAACTT